AGATGTATGGTTTTGATGACGGTATGCTTGTTACCATGAATCTTGGTGATCCTACAATCGAGCAAGAGAGACCTACGATTTTCGTCCTTGTGGATACACCTCCAATTCTTCCCCCATGTGAGCTTAACATAGTTATTAAGTAATTTATATTGTTTATTTCAAAATAGTTGACAACTTATTCTCCATTGACAGCTTATTTTCATTCTTCAAAGAATGTGCGGAAGATGGTAGACAGAACCTACTATACCGAAGGCTCCGAACTAACTTATCAGGAGAAAAATCATCTGGTCGCATTTTATACTGATCTTGAGAATTACAATGTCTACAATCGAACTCCTCAATATTATGGTCAATACGTGCCACTAGTGCACGTGTTGAACTACGGTAACTACCATGGAGATACCCTGGTAAGATTTTTGTACTATTACAACATCCGTGCATCTTTTTGCACACTTCTAAAACTAGTACATCATATCATTGCTAACTACGAAGTTATTACTATGTTTTTCAACAGATAATCCCGAATGATTGTGTGCCTCATCTGATGTATACACACGGTAGCCTTCATGTTTTGAACATACAACCAGGTCGTCCTACGAATCTCAACTGTCCATACCGGGTTTCTAAAAGAAGTGGAGACATGACAATCAAAGAATAGAAAAAATGTATGGACAGTCGTAAGGAGCTTCTTGGAAGCAACATTTAGCGAAGGGCAAGAATTGGAGACAGGATGATCGTCATTCTTCATAATGGAGAATCAGGGTCTATATTATTTTATGCTATTTTACCTTAAGGGTGTTTAGGTCCTACCTGATACTGATGATCATGTGTTAAGAACAATTATGTAGGGTTGGGTTCGATGACTATGAGGATGATGATCGTATGACTTATTATTAATAACGAGTAGAAGTTGTATGATGATGCATGATTAGTAGGACGAGTACTTGTTATTATATATGCTGATGTATGCGAGCATGCATGAGTTATTATATCAGCGGGTAAAATGAACATATATAGCAGCAGCGTTGGTAAACCAAGGATGAATATATAAGAGAGGACACTTCTCTCTATTAGCTAGCTAATATAACAACCTAAAAATAACCCCCAAAACCCCTAAAGCAGCCACTTTCCAAAAAAAAAACATGGACTTTTGGTCCTGGTTGGTGCCACCAACCGGGACCAAAGGCCCCCTAATTGGGCTGGGCGCACAGAGCCACGTGGAGGCACATTAGTCCTGGTTCTTGTTTGAACCGGGACTAATGGGTGGAGGTATTAGTAACGACCCATTAGTCCCGGTTCATGAACCGGGACTAAAGGCCCTCACAAACCGAGACTATTAGGTGTTTTTCTACTAGTGGGTGCGGCCGGCCCTGTGCGACCGAGGAGACGGCCGGCCAGCCAGGCGGCTCGGGCGGCTACGTACAACGAGGAATGATAGACGAACTGAGATGAGATGGGATCCACTTATGATTAATTACATTATTTTCTTATAAGGTGTGATTAATTACATTAAGAAAGAATAAATCTGTGACAATAAAAAGAAAATTCTATCCTAATAGACAATTACCAAAATGTCCTATTGCAAACAAATGGGATTAATACTGACCATTGGATCAGTCATATACTACATATTATTTTTGGTAGTATCATGTACCGTTAAAACTCTCCAACAGATGTGTAGTTTCGTGCAACGATTCATTTATTAAGTTGTAGACTCATTCTATCTTAGTATCTGCGATGTTACCCATAGTACGAGTAACTAGATATGTTACTCAAATCACCACTCTCATTAAATCATTGCCACATAACCAAATTTACCGAGTTGTATACTATGTTACTACTGAAGTTACTTCTACTATGGCCATAATCTAAGTGGAAGTGGGGGCTACGAGTGCGATGGCAGTTATTGGTCATATTTGAATTTACAGCCATAGATCTCGTAGGGTGTGCGTTGAGTGTTCGAGCACTCCTAGCGGGTTCTCTTCCTGTTATTGCTCCCATGTCACCTCACGTTATTTCCTGATCTCTTCTCTTGTCTGTGTTCATGCATAACGTTATGCACTTGGCGTGTATGTGCATCGCCGTGCAGCTCGCCGCGAGTGCCGCGCGCTGGCTTGCCTTCATCCACACGGCTTGTGCATGGCAACACCAAGAGCAAGAACGTACTGCTCGACAGGTTCGGCGAGGGGCGCGTGGTTCCAAGAGTACATGAGTAGGTGCTAGATCAGCCGGCCACATAGTCGGCAGGTACCGTGCGCTTGAAGTCGCCGATAGAGGACCAGCACGCTGATGTGGCCATGGGTTAAGACTCTGGCGAACAAGGGCTACGAGGCAGTGGCAGGGTGGTGGATGAAGAACAATACGAACAACACACACATTTCGGACACAAGCACTGCTACTCCACAGTCCGAGTTAACCATCTAAAGGAACTCGGAATGGATCGACGATTCAACACGAATAAATTCCATTACTGTTATTACTATTGTTACCCCACCGCAACACAGAGCATCACAACAGAGTGGAAGATAAAACTCAACTGCCACAACGGATCTGACACGATCGACATCACATCACACACAAAACGCCACAAACACTAGGGCAACGGTACGAGACATGGCAGCTAGCTAGCTAGCGTTCTTCGCTCACCCAGCGGCCTGCGTTGGGATAACTCTGCTTGTAGCAGCTGGCCTCGCAGCTCCACCTCTCGTGCTTGCACTCGCCGGGGCAATAAGGCAACTGCCTTTGTCTTTGAGCGAGTATTTAACCAAAAACTACCGCAATTCACGGAACCGTGACGAAAAACTACCACTTTACGATTTTGTCCCGAAAACTACCACTTTCTCGCTAATCCGTGGCAAAAAACTACCAAGTCGCGAAATCGCTCGCTTGGCCTCTTCTAAACGCATTTCTGACAGGATGGGCCCACCTGTCAGCATCAATCTTCTTCTTCCTCCTCCTCCTCCTCTCTCTGGCATTTCCTCGAACACCTCGCGTGCACTCCGGTGACCCTCTCGCCCGCACTTCGCCGCGTCCACGACCACCTCGTGCAGCTCCCCGTCACCATCGTCAGCGCCCGCTGCTTCCCCTCTACTCCGTGGCCGCGCGCCGGAGCTCGTGCCCGCGGCGCTCGTGGCCACCCCTCGCTCGTGGCCGCCCCTCGCTCGTGGCCGCCCCTCGCCATCGTCTGGCCTCGCCGCGCCCCTAGCCGCGCGCCCGTGG